CTACCGCCGAAAGAAACTCGCCCCTACGATGTCCTTTTCGTAGGCACCTCATCATATCATCAATATTCCAGCGCGTTCTCGTCTCCGTCGAGTTTGCTTCCCGTTCCAGTGGCTGCATACCCTGCAACTCGACGTATAAGGGGACATGGTCCCGTGGTGGTGGCCCTCGATAGGCCTGTAATTCTGCACCCAATCCAAATAAAGGGGAACATCTTGAAACCATATCAATCATTCCAGTCGGGAGGAAAAGACAATCTATACAACTGCTTACGCCCTTCGCGCCGTACCATGTGTGCTCCAACTTGTTCTTCAGCGTATTCATCGCGAACATGTGCTGTCGTTGGTTGATGAGCCTGAATACTTCACCAGCTCCTCCTCTGCGTTGTTCTCTGCACCTTCCCTCGCCCACCGCCGTTGACTCAATACTCGTCCACTTGCCCGATATTCGTGAGATCCCTGGCCATCATTGAGGTCTGCGTACACCAGCGGTATACATCGACACGGTAGGCTCTGAAGTATGTTCTCGTACCATGATCCAATCAACTTCACCGTGGCCATATACTGGGGCTGTTCCGCTGCATATTTCGGTTGGGGCGGTAGGTACATTGCCACTGCAGCTAAGTCCAACGGACCTCGACGAATACGAGCAGCGACCGCCCTCCCTCCCGCCTCTGGTGGACTAGCCCACACTTGTCTCACATGCTTCTCTTTGAACTTGCTGCCTAATATGATCGCACATCCTGTGGACTTGTTAGAAAACTGCGATGTTGTCGCTTCAGCTTCTAATATGAGCCGATGTTGTACTCGAGTGGTAAGCACCTCTTCTACTCTGCGATGACTCCTCTGGGTGCCTGCCAACAATACCAGATCCATGTTCGCGCAGCTCTGAACGATCTCCTGCATCCTGGTGCCCGTGGCGCACAGCGGGTTGAACCCGAGTACGCGCAGCGCCCACTGGCCCACGGGCCGCACCATTGCGCGCACTCTCGCCCGCCTGGTGCCCAGCGGAGGGCCTCGTGGCCTGCCTCCCCCTGCCGCCCGTCGCTCCTGTGTGCCAGAGCGGCGGCTGGAGGAGGAGGAGGAGGAGGAGGAGGAGGAGGAGGAGGAAGACGGGGATGATGATGATGATGATGATGATGATGATGATGATGATGATGATGATGATGATGATGATGATGATGATGATGATGATGATGATGATGATGATGATGATGATGAATGATGAGGATGATGAGGATGATGATGATGAGATGATGAGGATGATGAGGATGATGAGGATGATGAGGATGATGAGGGATGATGAGGATGATGAGGATGTGAGGATGATGATGATGATGAGGATATGAGGATGAGGAGATGAGGAGGATGAGGAGATGAGGAGGATGAGGAGATGAGGAGGATGAGGAGGGAGGAGGAGGAGGAGGGAGGAGGAGGAGAGGACGAGGAGGGAGGAACGAGGACGGAGGAGGAGGAGAGGAGGAGAGGAGGAGGAGAGGAGAGGATAGGAGGGGGAGGAGGAGGAGGAGAGGAGGAAGAGGAGAAGGAGGAGGAGGGAGGAACTAGGAGGGGATGATGGATGATGATGATGATGATGAGGAGGAGGAGGAGGAGGAGGAGGAGGAGGAGGAGGAGGAGGCGCGGCTCTGGCTGCTGGAGCAGGTTCGCCCGCTGCCAGGCGACTGGGAGCAGCGCGAGCTGGCGCGGGCCTGCAGGGCCCTGGGCGCGGGGCTGCAGGCCTGCACGGTCCGGCAGGCACGCGGGCGCGCGCAGCTTTCTGCAGCCCCCGCGATCGCACCAGTGCCATCCGGCCGGGGCCCCAGGTGCAGTTGGGCCGCTTCACTGTTTGTGCTGGCTTGGACTTCGCGCGGCGCTCCGTGCTGTGCGTCGTTCCCCAGGCGCGGCTGGGGCGCGCCCGTGAGGCGCGGCCAGTCGGCGCGCTGGCAACGTAGGGCCCAGAGAGTCTGTCCGTTTGTTTGTTTGTCGGTCTAGATGTTTTTCCCAGCCATCCTGTGGTGTTGGGTCATCGCTTTCAGAAGACGGTCCCCGCGTTCTCCTCCTTCGTTCTTTCCTTCCTTCTCCTCCTCCTCCTCCTCCTCCCGCTCCTCCCTCCTCCCGTCACCCCCCTCACTTTGGTACACCCCTCACAAGTTTTGTTGCCCCATGGGGAGCTCCACCGAAGGCCCCAGTGCCACCGTCCACATGCGCCCCCCACACCAATGTCGGCACACCCCTCACACGTTTCGTGGCCCCATTGGGAGCCCCACCGATGGCCTCAGTGCAACCGTCCACATGCGTTCCTCAAGCAAATTTCGGCACACCCCTCACACGCGTCGTGGCCCCATAGGGAGCTCCATCGAAGGCTCCAGTGCCACCGTCCACATGCGCCCCCCACACCCACGTCGGCACACCCCTCCCACGTTTCGTGGCCCCGTCGGGAGCTCCCACTGAAGGCTCCAGTGGCACCGCCCGCACACGCCCCCCACACCCACTTCGGCACCCCCCTCGCACGCTTCGTGCTTCGTGGCCCCCATTGGGAGCTCCACCGAATACCCCGGTGCCACCGTCCACACGCGTCCGCCGCACTAATTTCGGCACACCCCTCACAGGACTCGGGGCCCCAGAGGGAACGCCACCGAAGAAGATATTCATAACGGCGGTACGCACAAGTGCACATGGTTGGGTCCTGCGCCAGGCTATGTTGTTGTGTTTATCTCTCTCTCTCTCTTTGTGTGTGTATGTGTATATGCTCACATTCCTATTCGTATGCTTTATTTTATAAGGCTGGGGACCCCGAAAAAAGCGCGCGCGCACGCACACACACACACACACACATACACACACACACACACCAACACCAACACCAACACCAACACCAACACCAACACCAACACCAACACCAACACCAACACCAACACACACACACACACACACCACGCACACACACACACACACCAACACCAACACCACATACGTACACAACACAACACACACACAACACACACACACACACACACTACATCACGAATTTGGCCCGCCCAGGCCTGTCGGGCAGCCCCCCAGACGACCTGGGAGGACCTAGCAGGGCCCGAAGACGGCCCCAGAGGGCCCCCGCCCCCGACGTTCTGGCGCGCTCCCGAAACGACCCCAGAGAGTCCCAAGACAGTCGACGACGACCCCAAAGGAGCCGTCATACCCCAAAGATCGCTCCAAAACGTCCCAAGATGCCTCCAAGAGCACTCCCAAAAGGACCCCAAGATATAGCATTCATTGATGTTCCTGTAGTTTGTGGGGGATTTTTGAGTTCTTCCCTTTTCGGCTTCCCGACGCTCCATGACGGCCACGAGGCCCCCATAGCGGAGGCCCCAGGAGGCTCCCAAGAGACCCCGAAGAGGTCCCAAGAGGACCCCAGGAAACCCCAAGAGGTTCCCAATAGTCCCAAAAGATCCCGCAAGGACCCCACAGAAGTTCGAGATCGCCCCAAAACGTCCCAATAAGCCTAGCTCCCTAAGAGGGCCCCACGAAGCAAAGTTCATTGATTTTCCAATGGTTTCTGGGGGATTTCTGAATTCTCCCAGTTTCGGCTTCCCGACGCTCCAAGACGGCCCGCGAGGCCCCCAAGATCGCCATAAGACGGCCCGACAGACCTCCAAGAGGGCCCCCAATCGGCCCAAGAGTGCCCCGAGACAGTCCCGACAAGGCCCCCAGACTGTCCCGACAGGGCCCCAGCCCAAGAGGCCCCAAGAGGCCCCCAAGAGGCCCTCAGGAAGCCCCAAGAGGTCCCCAAGAGTCCCAAAATACCCCGCAAGGACCCCACAGAAGTTCGAAACCGCGCGAAAAGGCCCCCCAAGACAGCCCCAAAACGGGCCAGGAGCCCGAACATGACCCCAAGACAGCCCAACAGAGCCCATACGCGCCGCGGGACGGGCCCAAACCATAACACGCCATAACGGAGCTGCACCACGTCCCACTGAGGCCCTCAGAAGGCTCCGGGAGGCTCCAGTAAGGTATAGCGCTCTGAACGCGAGGCTTCCCAAACGCGAACGGCGGCGCAAAACCATTTCAGCGTCGAGATTATCGAGCCCCGCTGCGACACGGTCCCGACGCCCCCCAAGGCCCTCACACGGCTCCTTCCATATTCCCAAAGCCACGGTCATTGGTACGCCCAGGTCGCCGTTCCATAATTTGCCGTGTCCTCCATGCCGTCTCCTACCCAAGTCTTTCGGCACTCGCGAGCTCTTTTCGTTTCTGCCCCCTCTCTGTGGCCACGACCGCGTACATGCATATAGACATGCATGTGTGTACACGTAGAAGTGTCCAAGTAGGCATGACACAGATGTATGCGACACCATGCATAAACATACTTACTTATAAACTATGTACGCAACTACACATGTACATGAACCTATACACATACATAAACATATACGTACACCTCTGCATACACATCTAATATACTTATACATATACGAATATGCATACTCATATACAGACACAAATATGCACATCCACTTGTATACTTACAACCTACACAATCGTACACACATATACGTATACACATACGTGTATACACATGCATATTTACATACGTACGCACGTACGTACAACCACACGTATTTATATATACATATGTATAGATGTATATACACATGCCCGTGCATCATTATACACCAGACACACACGTAAATGTATGTACCGCTGCACCTATAGGCTTGTACGTGTATGGCGTGCATGCGCGTGCTCGCGGATGGCATGTACGCACATATTCACGCGCGCATGTGCACGCGCACACACGCCGTCCGCGTGCGAAACACGAAGGACCAAGGTACACGGCGCGAAGCGCCACTGCAGTATTGTATATATATATATACACATCTATGTATCAGTGTCCACCCTCCCCCTTCCCCGCCCTATCTTTGTTCCTCCCCACCTTTCCCCAGCTCTCTTCCCTGGACCCCCGCTCTCGATTCTTCCACCCTCGATGCCACCGGGTGGCACCGCAGCCTTGCGTATTCCACCCGCACAAGACGTCCCAGTTCAGGGACGTCACCAAGACTTGGCAGTACTATTGCTCGAAGGAGATCCTCGGGGAAGCCAGGGGTGTGCATGGAAGGAGGGGGGATGGGCAGGGAGGGGGGGCGCGGGGGGGCAAGGGGGAAGAGGGAGTTGCAGAGGGGACAGGGCGAAAGGGGGCAGGAGGAGGGGAGAGGGACGAAGCCCGGGCGAAAGGCAGGGGGGAATACGGAGGGGGAGGAGAGGGGGAAAGGAGCGGGAGAGGGAGGGAAGGAGGAGGGGAAGAGGGAGAGAAAGGAGGAAGAGGGAGAGGTAGGGAAGGAGGAGGAGGGAAGGAGGGAGCGGAAGGAGGGAAGAAGGGAGCGGGAGAGGGGGCGGGAGAGGGAGGGAGGAGGAGGAGGAGGAGGAGGAGGAGGAGGAGGAGGCGGAGGAGGAGGAGGGAGGGAGGGAGGGAGGGAGGAGGGAGAGAAGGAGGACAGGATGTGCCGACTGAGTTAGAGTTCCGCTGCTTGAGGGGCGACCTGTAAGTGCTACGGGCGGGCCATACTTCAGACCGTGCGCCGCCCTTCCACTGCCATGATCTCCCTCCTTCCCCGTACCCCCTCTCGGCATCGTTTTTGGTGCTCCTCCGACGCAGAACAGATGTTCATAGTCACTGTTGGGTGGAGAGGGGAGCAGGCTGAGGTGGCGGTTCCACCCTGGCATCCACAGGTGCGTACTACCCCCTCTTGGGAGCCACGGCTTGGAATCGGAGCAGCGGGGTCGTCCTCCCCCGTCCCGCTCGGACGAGTACCACTGGCTACCGTCTCGCCCCCCCCCCTCTCGGGAGGGAGACCCACCCCTTCTCGGGAGCCATGGCTTGGAGTCGGAACAGCGGGGGACGTCTTCTCCCCTCCCCAGAAGAGAACCGGTGGGTGGCTCCTGGGGCCCCTCTCTCAGGAGGGAGGTCCTTCCCGAGAGAGGGTGCGGCGCGCTGCCTGGCCCACTCGGCCTCTCACAGCTCGCAGGGCCCCGCCTGAGCCCACCTGCGCGGCGAGGGCGTCAGCGGGCCGCGCTGGGGAGGACGATGAAGGGGAGGAGGGTTCGGAGGAGGAGGAGGAGGAGAAGGACAAGGGAGGAGGAGGGAGGGAGGGAGGGAGGGAGGGAGTGAGGGAGGAGGAGGAGGAGGAGGTGGAGGAGGAGGAGGAGGAGGAGGAGGAAGAGGAGGAGGAAGAGGAGGAGGAGGAGGAGGAGGAGGAGGAGGGAGGAGGACGGAGGAGGACGGAGGAGGAGGAAGAAGAGGAGGACGAAGAAGGAGGAGGACGAGGACGAGGCGGAGAAGTTGGAGGAGGAGGGGGAGGGGGAGCATGGCCCTGCTGGCGGACAGGGTATCCCTCGTTGACACGGTCTGTCAGACACC